AAGTTTCAGTCAAACAGTTCTCGGTCGTTTGATTAATGCAGCTAAACCTAATAATGCATGTATCGCATCGTTATTTTTATCAAAAGGATTGGATAATCGAAAACTAACAATGTTTTTAATTTTTTTTTAATAGCTCTTGCAACACCACAAAGATTTAGGCAAGAAAATAAAAATGGCAATTCGTTCAATTGATTTAGATGAAGTGACCTGCGAAAATGATATTACTGCCAATTCGCGTCAGAACGACATTGATTCAGATAAAGAAAAGAACGACATTGATACCTTAATTTCAATAATGTTACTTTCAAAGGGCGTTAAAATTGAAGATGTTGATATCAAGACGACCGCTATAAAGCTTGAGGATTTGAACACTGAAAAACTTGACTGGTTCAAATATGTAATAGAAATATCAAAGGGTAACGATAACGTATCTGCGGATACAAAACGGAAGGTTTTTGATGAGTTAAAAAAGAAAAAAAAAAAAGAATTGTTTGGCGGCATCTCAGAATATGATTTTGACGGTGAAAGAACGCTATTCACAAAAAATCCCTTGAATATGAAAGATAACCCCACCATTTTTACTATATCATTAGCATTAAGTCCTTTTAAAAAAGAATTTCGTGTTAATATAACTAAAGATAAAGGAGAGATTAAAAATGGAACTTATGATAGAAAACCAATTGTTTTAAGAAAAATTGCTGCCAATCGGGAAAACGTTCAAAAATATTCGGATATTATCAAATTGTTATCAAGGAATGATCATATTGAAAAATAGTAAGTTGAAGTTATTGGCCTTTAGAACCATTAATAAAAGTGTTATTCATTTATCTACATCACCTCATCGAATAATAGTTACGGTACGCTTGAAATCCATAATGAATTATATGTAATCAATGAATGGATCAAAAATAATCTTCAAAAGTATTTAAAAACTGAAAAAAATATTTCATGGACTACAAAGCTCAAATTAGCCGAAGGAATTGCATCTGGTCTAAAATTTTGCCACAATGCAGAAATTTTATACAATGATTTATCAAGGTAATTTATGTCTAATGTTTTGTTTCATACCAGAAAGTTAAATGTGTAAATATCATTTTTATTTTTATATATGCATAGCGAACACATATTATTAGATGAAAACTTAAACCCGAAGCTCACTCTTTTTGGATTATTGCGTATTAATAACCCTGGACGGATATCACTCGCTGGAATTCAAACAGATGTTCGGTATAAAAATCTTTATATTGATTTTTTTAAAATGGAAGCCATCCACGTAATCAAAATTTTATGATAATAAATATAGATATACTGCACCAGAACTTATAATAGAATATGATATCCCATATTCAAAAGCGATGGACGTGTATAGGTGAAGTTAGAATTATAAACTGTTAAAACAGTAGTCAACATATTGATGTTTTATTAATTTATTTAGTTTTGGTATTTTAATGGCGGAAATCGCTTCACCTCAAACACCATTTTTTGCTGAGAACTCTGAAGATAAGGTACAAATTTCTCCTGAAAAACGCCCTACGGTTCCAGCCGACTTGGATTCAGAATACAAACATTTGATGGAATCTTGTTGTTATGAAAACCCTCGTTTTCGACCAACCATAGACATAGTTCGTGATGAACTTGAAATGCTATTGGATATACAGAGTACGCAAGATGCGCAAGGCAAAACACAGACACTTAATATAACCGTAGCGCATGACGAAGCTTTTCGTAATGTTATCTCTACTGCACCATCACCTTCATTATCAGTATTAGGTCCATTTGACGACGATGATGAAAAAACATTTCCTAATGCTTTGCTTCAGTTCGACAATAGACATAATTATGGTACTGAGAACAATGAATTACCGAGTTGGAGAGAAATAATGAAACGTCATAGTAAGAAACTATACGCGGAAGTTTACCCGTATCTCGAAGAATACGCAAGAAAAGAAGGACCCGAAGCAAATCAAGCAAGATATCTACTTGGTTGGTACCTTCTTGATGGACAAGAGGGTGTGCCTCAAGATGAACGTGATGCTATGAAATATTTACGGCAGGTTTCTGACGATCTGCCAGTTGGTACTTATACTGCCGCAGCGCAATATTTGTACGCGCGAGCGTGTTTGAAAGGATCAATGTATAATAGGAAGAATGGACTTGAATATTTAAAAAAGGCCGTAGAAGCACGTGATAAGAATGCATTGTTTTGGTATGCTGATATTTTACTAAATGGGGAACATGATGTACCAATCGATATTGAGGGTGCCGAGAAATATTATAAAGAGGCTAAAAGCCGTGGTCATCCAGATGCAGAAGCTGCATTAGAGAAACTGCAAGCTAAGAATGAAAGTGGTTAGACAATGTAAAGATGTGAATACATATAATGTATTTTATCTCTTGTATTTCACTTTGTATATATTGATATAAAGCATATGATAAGCATATGATTGCATAAGATTTAAAAGTTCTATTGTTAAGTTAAACTGTTCACGTAAGAAGCATATCAAGTAGCACACAAATAGAAATTTATAAAATCTTAGAAGAAATGAAATGTAGATTCAACACGCTAGTTTACTCCTAAGTTAATATTATTTCCCGTATAAATTCTTAACCCAAACAAAGTGTCAAAATCATCTTTGGTTGGTTCTTTATTCCATTCCATATTTCGGACTTTTGTGGGATCAGGGATAATTTGATAAATACCTGCAGGAAGCGTAATGCTGAGATTAGTCGCGCGTTTCCAATAATATTCTTGGGGGCTGGAGATGGCCATTTTGGTTTTGGTGTCGATTAAATTGAACTTCAGATTAAAACTGGTTATAATATCAAATTATTAGCAGCAATAGAACGTGATGAAATAAAAACATGCTAATCATTTGTTACCCAATTTTATTGTAGTTTTTTCCAGAATAACGCGGGTCTGGCTGTTGAAGCACAATCTTCAATTCATTCTCGGGGTCTTTAAGTTCAACAGTAAACTTTGGATTATTTTCCGCTTTATCTGTCCATTTTATCCAGTGAGAATAGACGCGCCACTGATCACGATAGAATTCGCATTCATCGACTGCTTGAAAGTGCTTGAGGAAATCATCATACTCCATAAAAAACGAACCGTCATCTTCAAAAGAATAATTTAAAATTTTGAGATATTCGGGTTTCCATTCTGCGCCATGATCTTTCCAACGACCTATTGAGAAACATAAAATGTCTAAGTGATATTCTAATAAAAATAACAATTGGCAAAAGCTTGGTTTTCTAAAATATTTACCTTTCCACTCGAACTGACCCCACGGATTCCTGATTTCAAGCAACCTAAAATTTTCAAGATTAACAGCACGAATTACACTATAGGCGTGTCCACCGACGAGTCCAAGTGCCTTATCAGATCTCTGTGGGAAGTGCGCGCATCCGAATAGCACATCGGTGTTTGGTCTACGCAATTCACTCCAGAACTTATCCTTGTCTTCGATGAGATGACTCCAATATGAAGTAGAAATACCCCCACTCAAGTCCTCGAGCGCTGTTGCAGAACATACTAATTTAATTATTTATATATTTGAATTTAGCATATAAAAAATGCAATTACCTTCTCCAGGCCAACCACCATCAATGCTTTCATAATCACCATTGGCTTTTGCGTAAGCTTTTTCTAATAATGGAACCCATGTTTCATTTTTATCTTTACATTTACTATAAATAAAAAAATTGGTATTTATTATCCTTGGATATTGAAAGATTAATAGAATACGCACGAAAATAATAGTTCCCCATGTTTATTTAGGAAAACTTGGTCATCTATAATAGTCGAAATCCATTCTCCGTCCTAAACACGCGATTACGAGTTCAATTAGAATTACACAATTTGTTTCCTATTTGGAATATTTGCTTACTTTATAGAAAACAAATCCATAAACCTAAGTTTATAATATTAAAGTTAATTAAATCGAAAATATAAAAAAAGATTCATTAATTTATAATTTATACCCCAACTTCTTCATCACGAGCTACACATATCGATTCTATCAAACCGGGTACATCAGCTGCAGCGGCCATAGCAGCTAAAAACCAGCAATCTCCAATAAAGCCTTTTAAAATAATATTTGTGAATTTTTAGTTTGATTCTTTTTTATGTTCGGTTTTATTAATTATTACCTTGTTTAACATCACCATGTTCTTCGCCGTTGATGAAAAATTGACGATCTGGCAGAATCTCTCGAATACGTTTTATTGAAGAGTATTCTACTTTTTCACCATCAGCTTTTTTGTCTCCGGCTTTGTATAATGCATGCGGTGGATTCGCAGCAAGATCGAATGCTTGATCAGTATATTTTATTTTTTGTGTACGGCAATCGGAGGCAATCTATTTTTTTGTTATTGTTATAAAAATATTTTTCTATTTTATATAAATCTTAATCAAATAATAAATTTTACTTCTAAAACTTTTTTTTGAGTTGCTTTAATTGCATTTTCACGGGCAATTTTTGCGATAGTACTTTTTGGATTTTGATTTGTCAACGCTACTAGATTTCCGTAAATTTCTTCTCGTTTAGCGCGTTTTACAGCACTTATTGGTGCAGTATATCGAAAGTGAAGTTTGAGAAAGTCTAAATTTATAGGGGGAAATGGAAATGACGGAAAATTTATGTGTAAATTAGTGGACTGAATTCTGCTGCCGAAAGTTAGTTTCGCATAATTGTGAGAATTGGATGATGAGCGTAAAAGACATGAAGCTCGAAGATTGCTTTGACGATAATTTTTTAGACTCGACGAAAATATAGAACGATGCTGCGCAGCAGTCGATAAAGTTCTCATTTTTTTTTCCCTAAAATCTCGATTTTTCAAAGTGACATTTTTATATGATTACATAAATCTTCCGTTAGATGTTTCTTGCGACGTGGTACTTCAAAAACCGGTTTTTGACAATTCAATTCTTTTTTATACATATCGATATCGATATACATGTACAATGAACCATTGATGAGCCTATTGAGTAGCACGTACATGTACATGTCTTACGATTATACCACTGGACAAAATACGTACGTAATAAACAAAAATTTTTTTCTAAAAAAGCTGCATTGATAGGAAACAAGTTACTAATATCAATATTATAGATTTACAGCATCGTAAACTTTATAGCAAGCAGATCATGCCAAACCTATATTAAAAACATTATGTATATTGGATCAATGTAGTATTACATAATATTGAGTGTAGAGTAATTGTCTGGGTGTTGTACCATCCATTTTTTAATTTTCTAATGCAAAAACTAGAAATTATTATACTGTATATGATTTTTTTCGCTTGTTACCAGTAAAGAGACTAAAAAATTAATTATCGGTTTTAATTCATCTTTGCTCAGCAGTCTTTATTTCTTCCTCAAAGAATGAATTTTTCACTATACTCTTTGCTCATCAAAATGAACCGGACGTAATTCATCAAGATTCGGTGATTTTTGCGGATAATAGAGCATTATAATTATTTACAGAATAACCAATTTTTGCTATTGTAAGCTGAGTAAATAATCAGTATCTTTATTTGAAGAGTTTGAATAATTTCAGTTGCTTACGACCTGAAGGTGATTGTATCTTGGAAGCAGCATTCATTATATTGTAAATGGAGGATACACCGAACAGGGAATCTTGTAAATAGGGAGTACAATACACAGATTGTTTAATATAATACATAATCACTCTCGTTATCAAGGAAATATTGGCAATATTGATTTTTCAATACTGTAAGCGTTGATGAATGCTTTAGATTTATTTTGTGATCCGTTTAATACGACCGATTCGACTAACGAACAGAAGGCTATAAAAAGTTAAGTATAATGCATTAATTTCTTATTTACTACACATAATCCTACGCAACAATACTAACCTAACAATTTTTTACCCATAATACCTCGAATTTCAGTCGAAAATGAACCGAAATATTTATCCTTCGACAAGGATATTCGATTCGAGAAATTGCAGTATCCAGGCGGGTGGACTTCAAATATGTAAAAATGAAGGAGAAACTGGAAGTTTGAATGACAAACCCAAACCTGGTCATTCTCTAATCATGAATGCTATACGATTAATACATACCGAAAAATATTTATATTTTTACAGGACGAGCTATTTCATGTCATACTATATTCTCTAAATACATACCCAAGTACATAAAATGGAAAGAATCAATTCGTTTCGTGTGATAATTAATCCTGAGCTGTCGACTTTTATTTGTAAATCGATATCTATAAGCTATTTAATAGAATTATATAAAAAATAACAGTTTTATTGAATTAATCTCGTTATATTTATGAGTAAGGACCAAATTCTATTTTTTTGATGTTTGTTTGTGTTGGTATATCGTAATTATAATAAACATAAATTTCTTCCAACTCAGGATATTTTGAAAAAGATAAAGACTCTATTACTTCAATGCCGGTTTCCTCTCAGCATTTATAAGGACTTATCTGTATATACAGGGGGTGGAAAGAAATATTGGACGTTTCGCGCGTTTTTAAATTAATATATATCATTGGATCTTGTGTTTTTTTTGACAATTATTTTATAATAAATTATTTACATATAGTAACAATCTATAACCAAAACAAATCTTATCTTCATATGATGCATCCAGGCGTTATAAAGCTACGCGCAATTTCCTCTCAAAAAATCACCCTTTAAATTTTACCGCATGATGTGCCGTGAAAAAGAATTAACAGAAAGTCAGAAAGGTGGAATTATTATTGCAAAAAAACTTGGCCACACACATGCCAAGATCTCTAAGGCTGTAGTTTGTTTTGTAATCCGCATGTTAGAAGCACACAAGCTTAAAAATCATCTCAGATCATCTACCAATTTATAACAAATCTGCATGCAACCATCTCAAGACTTCAGTAACCCGAAACAAAAATTCTCGCCATTAAACTCTTTCCCAGGTCATACAAAGTATTAGAATCATAATATAAATATCTGAATCATTCTATAAATAAATAAATATCAGAACCTTCTATAAATAAATAAAATTAATTAAAAAAAAATCTTCCAATATTTCTTTTACCTCCCTCCCATGGACGATCTGATTGTTTTTTAGATAATTTTTTAAGCTCATGTGCTTCTAATATGTGGATCACAGAATAACCTACAGTCTTAGAGATCTCAGTATGTGTGTGGCCAAGTTTTTTTGCAATAATAATTCCACTCTCTGACTTTCTGTTAATTCTTTTTCACAGCACATCATGCGGTAAAATTTAAAGGGTGATTTTTTGAGAGGAAATTGCGCGTAGCTTTATAACTCCTGGATGCGTCGTCGTATGAAGATGAGATTTGTTTTGGTTATAGATCGTCACTATATGTAAATAATATAATTGTCAAAAAAACACAAGATCCAATGATATAAATCAATTTAAAAATGTGCGAAACGTCCAATATTTCTTTCCACCCCCTGTACTTTCCTTTTTCGTTACTGTGTCCTTTGGATTTTTCCAGTTGTTATAAATCCAATTATTGTTTGGAGTGATACCCTTTGAATATGGCATATTTAAATTTTGCGTCTTGATTCAATGTAGTATCATATAAGAACACCGCAATTAGTGGTGTCTATAGAATGAAAACTCGAGATCGCGACATACAAAAATCTCGAAATACTAAAATCAAAATCTGAAGATATTAAAATTTTGTGACTCTAGATCTTATGTAAAGACTACTATACGTTAGTAACAATATTTTATTACATAATTTTGAGTATATAATTATGTTGCTGGACAAGTTAAGATTTTAGTATTTCAGAATTTTAGATGCCAGGATATTGGATTTTGGATTTATTATAGTGTTATCGATACATCCCGCAAATTTCTTAAGCATACTAATTATCTATACGACACAAAATAATAAAACAATGTACAAAGATACTCTTGATATAACGACCCTTCGATATAACGAAGTCTAATTAAAATCGCGATATAATGAACTTGAGTTCAGGAACAATTTATTATAAACCATATAATAATGCCGCTCGATATAATGTATAATGAAATTTTACATATAGACCCGACTACTTCATTATATCAAGAGTGGCTTTGTTGAATCGGTGCAGAAAAATTGTAAAATGAACTGATTTTAAGCCACTGATTTAATTAAACTATAAGTTTTTAAATTGGACTTATAAAATTCTTCAACTTTTATAACTTAATCAAATTTTACCTGCAGAAGACTTTTTATAATGGATTTCTAAGTGAATTATAAAACGGAAATGCTATTCACATCATGGTAGATCCTATGAGAATCAACCAATCAGATGAACTTCCTCTATGATACAGTATTACGTAAAATTCAGGACCTCAAGTAACCAAAGTTTTTACTGAGTTTAAATTTACATGTAATGTAAACAAATATTAAATTCGAAAAGTTGGATTAAATTGAGGTTTAAATTTTTACAGAGCGAGATACATGTACTATAGACCGCGATTTACGGGACGTAACATTCAAATTAAATTATATACTCATACATTTATAATCACATCACTTATGAAAAGTATCATTCTATTTAAAATAGTTGATTAAATTGTTATAATATAGTTTTTACAAGATAGCGTGTTAACGCTCGTTGTCCTATTTATACAACACGTGATTATATAACTGCACCACAAATCGTATAATCAATAATCAATCAATGATAAATACACGTACATTTGGTGGTATAAAATACATCTGAAAGTTACGATTCATTTGTCCCTGTGTTTTTTTCTTCGTCTCCTCCAATCTTTTTAATATCTCACCCGCTTTTTCATTGCCACAACTCCTTGCTTTTTGCAACATATCTTCCGCTATACCAGTATGAATCTGCTCTCCATGTTTACCGTTCAACAAAATAGTATCATACAAAAAATAGGGCATTTTCTCGTTTGCGCTTGCAGCCAATCTTAAAATATCTTTTTGAGCATATAGAGTAATCCTTAGACACAAATTCGCATATAAATATTGAGACAAGGGAGTAATATTGCTAGCTGGTGATTAATCTGCGGCTTCACGTAAGTAAACACAAGCCCGAAATTCATCTTTGGGCACACCATCATGTCCTTCGTATAGTAGTTTGCCAGCATAATATCTGGCTAAATATGCCTCAGGTTTGTCACTTTGAACGTATAGTTCCAATACTTCTATTACCTCTGTGTAGTTTCTTTTATTAAGAGCCGTAGTGACCTCTTTCCATGGTGGAAGAGTATGTGGTTTATCTTCCTTCTTCTCAGTGGTTTGGACTTTAAAATTGAAATTTTCTAATAAAAAATAATAATTATCGGTATAAATAACAATCTAATATTCGAGTCAAAGTCAAGTGCATAAATAAGTGAAAATAACATACGATTTCTGGAAATATTTCGCGTGTATAGTGCTACCATCGGTCGAATAGATTTCTTCAAAAGTTGCAACTCATAAAATGTAGCTTTTAATAGGAGGACGACGATGGAAAGATTGAGCCAAACACCATTATCATTTTGCATTCTGGCATAATATCGTTTGGGATTTGTGATGTACATTCGCCGTTTTTGATCCTCTCGGAAACATCAATATTGTTGGTCATTGGTCAAATGGCTCTTTTCTTGCTGCAATTTCCCACATTACTATTCCAAAACTTTTAGGTAGAAAAATTTCTAAGCAATAATGATGATAAATATCATAAAGATTAATGCAGTATTATTCTTACCTAAATATATCTATTTCTTTAGTGTAAGGAGCATAGGTTTTACTTATTTTTCAGGCGCAGTCCATCTATTTTAATTTTGAAACAATTAAGGATCAATTTTGATGTTATTTGACCTGTTATTGATGTCGTTGATTCGCTAGCGAAGCGTGCCATATCAAAATTGTTAAACTTCGCATTAAAATGCTCATCTAATAATACATTCTTACTATATTTGACAATATAAATGTCAAAAGGATTATTCTTTATTTAATATATTTCTAATAATCTTTAAATTATCTTTTAACAACATGATGAAAAATATCAGCATCATGGCAAAATGTGAGAGCAGCTGCGATGCCTACCGCAAGCTTCAGTTTTTGTCGCCATGTCTATTATCGAGAAGTGTGCCAGAACTTAACTAACATAGTTAAGTTCGGGCAGAGAGGATTATGTACGAACGTTTCAAATGAGAAAAATGACGAGGCGATAGAGAATTCATAAAGTATTAATAAAAGTTTCTGAATATGTAAAGGAAGTTAGAAAATCTGGAAGTTTTAGTAAATAGCTCTCGTTAGTTTGAGTAAGACAGCCAAATCTAATGCATGTATCGCATCGTTATTTTTATCAAAAGGATTGGATAATCAAAATTAACAATGTTTTTTAATTTTTTATTTACTAGTGCTTGCAAGAAAATAGAAATGATAATATTTCAGATAAAGAACGGCATTGATACCGTAATTTCAACAGTGTTACTTTCAAAAGGCGTTAAAATTGAAGATATTGGTATAAATCTTAAGAATTTGAATACTGAAAAACTTGACTGGTTCAAATATGTAATGGATTTATTGAAGGCTAACGATAACATATTGACAGATACAAAGGGGAAGGTTTTTGAGGAGTTAAAAAAGAAAAAAGAAGAGGAATTGTTTGATGGCATCTCAGAATGTAATTTTTGACGATGAAAGAACGCTATTCACAAAAAACCCTTGAAAATGAAAGACATTGTTACTATATAATTAGCATTAGGTCCTTTTAAAGAAGAATATCATATTAATATAACTAAAGAAAAAATAAAGGAGAGATTAAAAATGGAACTTATGATGGAAACCAATTTTTTTAAAAAAAATTGCTGCCAATCGGGATAACGTTCAAAAATATTCGGATATTATCAAATAGTTATCAAGGAATGATCATATTTAAAAATAGTAAGTTGAAGCTATTGGCCTTTAGAAAAATTAATAAAAGGGTTTATTCATTTATCTCATTACCTCATCGAATAATAGTTACGGTACGCTTGAAAACTATAATGAATTATATGTAATCAATGAATGGATCAAAAATAATCAAGAGTATTTAAAACTGAAAAATATTTCATGGACTACAAAGCTCAAATTAGCCGAAGGAATTGCATCTGGTCTAAAATTTTGCCACAACGCAGAAAGTTTATATAATGATTTAAAGGTAATTATGTCTAATGTTTTGTTTCATACCAGAAAGTTAAATGCATAAATATCATTTTTATTTTTATACAGTATATACATAGCGAACACATATTATTAAACGAGAATTTAAACCCGAAGCTCACTGTATTTAGATTATTGCGTATTAATAACCCTAGACGGATGTCACTCGCTGGAAATCCCGGTATAAAATGTTTATAATTTTTTTAAAATGGACTATATAATTAAAATTTTATGATAATAAATCATCGATATACTGCGCCAGAACTTATAATAGAATATGATATCCCATATTCAAAGGCGATGAACGTGTATATAAAATTATAAATTGTTAAAAGTAGTCATTATATCGATGTTTTTTATTAATTTATTTAGTCTTGGTATCTTAATGGCTATATCGTTTCACTTCAAACATCATTTTTTGCTGATAATTTTGAAGATAAGGTAAAAATTCTCATGAAAAACACCTTACGGTTCCAGCCGTCTTGGATTCAGAATACAAGCATTTGATGGAATCTCAAAAACCTCGTCTTCAACCAACCATAGACATAGTTCGTGATGAACTTGAAATTCCATTAAATATACAGAGCACGTAAAGTGCTCAAGACAAAACACAGACACTTGATATATATGACGAAGCTTTTCGTCATATTAAATCTACTGCACATTCACCTTCATTATCAGTAATAGGTCCACTTGACGACGAAAATGAATTTCCTAATGCTTTCAGTTCGACGATAAACTTAATGTTGGTGCTGAGAACAATGAATTACCGAGTGGGAGAGAATCATAGTAAGAAACTATACTCGGAAGCTTTATATTAAATAATCAGCTGATTAAGTATTTATTTATAAATTTATAATTTATTTCTTAAAATATAAAGTTATATCTTAAAATATTTAGTAATTTAGATATTTATTTAGTTATTTTGTAATAATTTTATATTGAATTATACTTCTTTACTCTTATATTAGTTTGAATTTTTAAATATTTAGTATTATATAGATTAGTTTGTATTACTTTTTGAAATTTCAATTGGTTACTTAGATCTACTTAATGTGTCTAATTAATTATTATTTATTACACATTATTATAATCACTATACAGTGGCAATCAAAAATAATGCAACACTTAAATTTTTTACTAATTATAATTAGTAAAATATGTATTTTTTCTTACATATAAAAGTTTTTAATTTTACTAACA